CAGTTCTATTTGACGATATATATATATATATATATATATATATATATATATATATATTTACAGCGCATATCGTCGCGCGAGCTTTTAGATCCGGAAAAGAAGAAGAAAAAGAGGAGAAGGAAAAGGAGAGGACAGGGGAGAGGTAGACGAGGGTGATCAGAGGAAGTGATCTATGTCGGGATTGAGAGGGGGCGGAATAGGTGGAAGAAAAGCGGCCATTGCTGCAGGAGTTGTCGGCGCATCTTCCTCATGGAAGTGATGCTGGACGAATGAGGGGTAAAGGAAAGCCCCCGACACATGTGAGAGGACACGTGGCGCCAGATCCGCTACCGCTCGCACCACCCGCTTGCGCACCGATCGGGGCCCTGGACCCGTCATCACCACATGAGTCTCGGTGTAAGGCCGCCGCTCCCGCTTCTGCGCTACGAAGACCAGGAAGTGGTACATTGCATTTGGACGCTGCCCGGTCTCGTAGATGAGCGTCCCCGCCAATTGCGCCGCAATACACCCTTGGAAAGGTGGTGTCAGATATGGCTCCCACGCCGGATCAGGGCGCGGCGCCCCCGTGACGGCCTCGAGCTTGATGGTGGCGGGCTCCACCATGAAGTCCACCTCGGTCGGATGGACCGTCCGGCTCGGATGAACTACTAATGTCAATGACCAGGGCACCTTGGGGTGGCTGGCAGGAACAGAGAGGTCCCGCGAGGACAGGGGGTCTGGATATGGGATCCGGAAATCCCGTTCGGCTTCCTCCTTCGGCTGCTGCTGATGATGATGGCCCGGCTCCATCAAGATTGAGATCGGGCACCCGCGGAATGGGCGGCGATGGCACGATAGTCTCCTAAACGAGCGTCGCCGCGCTCCCAGGCACAGTGTCAGGAATCCGCGTACGCGCAGGCTGAATCACCTCCTCGCCGTCGCCGATCCTACTGCATTACGCTCCTCGCGACGGGTGGCATCTCTTCCTCTTTGGCGTCTTCTTGGGGGCCTTCTGGGGCGCTGGTCGAGGATACGACGAGGGAGGACGCAACGGCCTTTCCTCCGGGAAGTCCTCCAATCTCTCTGCGCGCTGCGCAATGTAATCCGGGATGACGACCGCGTTGTACGTTCTCCGCGGGGCCGTCGCCGTCCGCAATCGTGGTTGGATCTCCTCCTCCTCGCTCGCGATCACTTGCGCAATGGAGAGGAGCTCAAGATGTATGAGCTCCAACAATCCCAGATCGATTGTCTGGAGCGGGGCGAAGGGGTACAGCGCCACCGTCCCTTCCTTCTCCGTTGGCTTGGGCCGCGCGATGACGTAGTAAACGACGAAGTGCTCCTCGATAGCGTGGTCTTCGTGATCCACGGAGAACCGGAACATCCCCAGCACCACCGACTTGTACAGCGCACGATGCAACTCCCACGCGTCTTCGTCGGCGAAGGGCAGCGGCTCCACGTCAGTTAGCTCCACCAAATACTGCAAGAACTCGCGCATGGGGTAAGGGCCCTCCGTGAGCTGGTAGGGGAGGGTGGTGTAGGAGAAGAAAGGAGGCATTTAGTACGGGACAGGGGGAATAGCTTGGAGGTTGAGAGGAGCAGCGGGAGGGAGAAGCGCGGGGAGCTGCGGCACCAACGCAATCGGTCCGTCCTCTGCCCTACGCAGCAACACTTTGTGGGCTGTGAATCGGTGTCCCCCCCGTCCTTGCACTCTGGCCAGTGATTTGGCCGCTTCCACCGCGTATTCGCGCACAAAGCTGCGCGTCGGTTCCTTATTCTGCTGCGGTAGGACCGTCAAGTCTCCGATGAAGGTGGCGACGCTGTGCACGAAGTTGGGTGCCACCTGGAGCGCACGAAACTCAATGAATACTCGGGTCGTCTCCTGGCCAGGCAACTGCGTTACGTCCACGTACACTCCTGCATATGTCAGTCGATCGCAAAGCAACGAGTATGCTGCCAAATCAGCAACCCCGGGCGCTGGCACGTTCACCTGTTGGATGTCGTACCACAATTGCCTCTCCTCATTAAACCAATGCCACAACAAGCAATCTGCAAGCGGCGTCTGGAAGTGCTCGAGGGGCTCATGCTCCGGCTGGCGATGGTTCATCCTGCTCCCTGAAACTCTCAGCACCAATGGACGAGGCAGATCGGGAAGAGGAGGAGGATGAAGAAGGAGAGGGTGATCTCGCAGGAGCGGGGGTCCGTAGGGGACCTAGCGATGGCTGGAAGGGCCGGAGCGCGGAAGCGTGCCGTGTCAGCGGTCGGGCCTGGGAGTTGTGACGGGGAATCAGCTTCACGGAGTGCTGTCCCTGTGCGCCAACTTCCGTGACCTCGTAAATGCCTGTGTAGCGCGAGTGGATCTTGGAGGAACGCACAGATTTCCATACCTTCACCAAGTCCCCAACTTTATAGTGGGACAGTGGTCCCGCCGATGCGTGTCGATTCTCGTAGTCACGGATCTGCCGTTGATGTGTCCGATCTACGGCCTGCTGTCGACGACGAGCTAACGGGGGATAGGCCCTAGCCATTAAGTCCATGTAGTGGYGGGCCTTGTCTCGATTCTGGGCCCGTGTTGCTCTAACTTTCGTACCTACTAAGGGGGGCAATTGCACCCGAGGGACACTATTGGTTCTCAGTTGAAAGGGGGACACCCCAGTACTACCGTGTGGGGTAGCCCGATAAACGGCCAAAATGTAATTGACAATGACCGGCCAGGGTCGGGTGTCTCCCGCAGTGATATTTCGTCTAAGGGCTGTCTTAATCAGTCGGTTGGCATTCTCTACCTGGCCATTGGCTTGAGGCCAACGCCCCGGTGAGTAGATAATCTTAACGTCCGCCCTGACTAGGTGACGTTCTACTTCTCCTTGAAATTTCGACCCATTGTCCATGTGTACCTCTTCTACGTCTAGATGAATGCACAAAAATTGATTTACGTACCAGGCTACTTCCTGCGAATTCCGGCTGGTCATAGGGTACGCCTCGATCCATTTTGAAAAATGATCGACGGCCACTAAAAGAACATTGAGCTCTCCCCGATCGACGGGCCCTCTCGGAATGTTGATATCCGTCGTATCGATGCTAACCCTATGAAAGGGGCGCTCTACACGAGTGGGAACCATCGTCCGAGGCATCTGTACCGGCGCCTTGTCCGCTGCGCAGGCCCGACAATTCTGAACGATGTATTTCACATCTTCCCGAATTCCCGACCAGTACCATCCGTTCTTTTCGATGGCTTTTTCTGTGTACTTGACCGCGAAATGGACCGCATCCTCCTCATGAGCAGCTCGTGTCCAATCGAACCTAGCAAGAGGGTGTGGAACCGTCAACCAGCTAGACTCTCCGTCGTCTTCGATCTTCCGTTTTTGTAACGTCGGGCCCAGCCAGCAATAGTCATGCTTTTGCTCCGTGACTCTCCCTTGTTCGGCTCTGGTAAGTTCTGACAGAGAGGCGCCTCACACTGTCAGTCTCCGTAGCAACAGAAGGTCCGTCCAGGCTTCTGCCCGGCGGGCACTTGGCGCAAATCCGTCGGCTGTTCTAGCGTCCAGATACCGCTTCTCGGTAGGGACTTGGTCCGTTCTACAGTTGGGATAGGCCCACGTCTTTTCACTTCGGTACCTAACGCACTGTCCGTGAGATTTGACCGTATGACACTGACTACACTGTACCCATGAAAGAAAATTGGGCCCTTCCGGATGTGACCCTTCTTGGTCCAGGATCATGGGCAAGGTACAGAAGAAACAGGGACTTAGGTGTGTTTCAGGGGACAAGTTGGGGCTAGACGAGAGAGTGAGGGAGTGGGATGAGGGCAGAGAGATAGCGTCGGCCATCTCCGATGAAACCTCCATTCCGGACTCAGGCGCCGTTCTTACGCAGCACGTGTAGCTGCCCGTAGTGCGGTTTCGTCGCCTCGACTTCTGGCCTCCACGGAATGAGTCGCTCGTTGGTGGGACACTTGTTGGGCGGCAGAAGGCGCGTTAATCCATCGGCGTTATCACGCTGCCGCGTGGCACGGTGGCGGATGTCGAAGTCATAGTCTTGCAGACGCACCGCCCACCTGCCCAGCGTCCCCGTGCAGTCCGTGTTGCTGCGTAGGGACAGCAGCGGCTGATGATTCGTTACCAGCACGAATTTCTGGCCGTACAGATACGGTCGGAAATGCTGAATCCCACACACCACCGCCAGGCATTCACCTTTGCTTGCTTCGTAATTAGCCTGCGCCTGGCTCAACATCTTGGACGCATAATCAATGACGTGCTCCCTTCCGTCCTTGCCGTGCTGAGTCAGCACCGCCGATATCGCCTGAGGCTGCCAGTCTGTGTGCAGTGCGAACAGTCTTGTCAGGTCGGGGTTTGCGAACACAGGAGCAGATGTCAGAGCCTCCTTCAACTCCTGAAATGCCGCTTCACATTACGGCGTCCAGATCAGCTGTTCCTCTTTCTTCAGCAGGTTCGTGAGGGGCTTCGCTATGCCGGCGAACCCCTTGATGAAGCGTCGGTAATAGGATGCCAAACCTAGAAAAGCCCGAACCTGGGTGAGTGTGACCGGCGCCGGGGCGTCTTGAACTGCTGCCACCTTCCTCGGATCCGGTTTTAGTCCGTCGACCGTGACGATGTACCCCAAGAATGAGATCTCCG